ATTGAAAATATTATTAATGACAGTGTGTGTAGATTTAAAAAATTAATCATTCAAAATTGCTCGTTCCTCTAACTTAAATAAAATTTAAGTAATTTAGAAATTTTTAAATTTTAATTTAGAAATATTTTTAAATTAAAAACGTATATAACATGATAAAAAATCTCTCCTTATTCTCTTTTATATATATTATAATTTTAATAATTTTAAGTTATGTTTTTATTATGTTATACTCTTTAAATATTTTTATTATTTTAGATATTATTATTATTATTTTATTATTTTAATATTTTTATTATTTTAGATATTATTTTAGATATTATTATAAATATAGACTACTGGATGATCTATACATCATTGTAGCATAAACACGTAGCCAAGTTTAAACGATTGATTTAACAATTTATGTTTAAAAACTTTTATCTTTTTTCAATAAATAATTCAATAAATTCAATAAATAACTAATTTCAATAAACTTGCATCCTTTTTCAATAAATAATTTTTGTAATTAATAATAAATTAATAGAATGCTTTTATGCAACAAACTATTTTCGGAATGATGTCACGAAATAATAAAAATTGTATTGAAATAGAACCTATTTGAAAAATTACGATTTTATACATCATTCATACAGTTTTATATAGACAGTTGAAAACGTCATATCACGTTGCAAATAGAGATGCATAAATTTGTAATCGTTTTACGTCAAAATTCTCTGTGAAGCAATATAAGTGTAAAATTCACATTTAGATAGAAACGTGACTGACTCGAACTGATATGTTATGGATTTCAAGGTTTACAACGGGGGCACGGTTTTTACTTGCGAGATTTATAAATATCGTTTTACTTTTTAAATGATCGAATTTCTGACGGAACGAATATGATTAAATTAATCGTGATGGACATGTGTAATTTTTTTGTGTTACAACTAACGACAAATTTGCTCTCGATAAATTATACGTTCAAATTTGCAACATTCAGCTATTGGTTAAGCAAAACGATTTCTGACGTTTTTGTAAAAACAGATATGATTCAGCTTTGTTCTCTATCTTTTAAATAAAAATAATATATTTTTTTTACATCTCGTTTCTTTAAAAAATATTATTTTTCTGTATTTCTATAAACAGAGTTTTAATAAACTAGAATATTTTTATATTTTATACTTAACATTAAATTATTACTGATTTAATAACAAAATTAGGTTTTAAATTACAAAAATTAGACTTAAACTTCTAAAACTTACTCATATTTATTTTTGTGTTTAAATTTATTTTATTGCCGTAAAAATGTCGTTCTCTGAAAACTGTAATTAGTCAGATTGCAGTGAAGCAAATATTGACAGCTGATTGCATCTGCGAAAGCATTTATCGGAAAATCCTGTCTCAACATAAACCGTTTATCGATGATAGATAAATACACTATCTGACAATCGATACGAGACCTTTATTACATATATCATAAAGAAGGAAAAAATAATATATATACGACGGTTTTATATACAAAACCGTGCAACTTGATTTATGAATGTTGCTCATGAATACTCGAATTCGAATAATATTTCACTTTTAAGAAATATCGATGTCAATTAAATATGCTTAAAGATTTTTAAACTTTTAATACTTCAATTACTAGCATATCTTGTACTTAAATAACATATATTTGTGTTAAATAAAATATTAAGAAATGCGGACAAGTCTTATGTATTATATATTAACATTATTTTAGCCACAAGCAATGACCTAAATAATCCTGTAAATAATAATCAGAAATACTTTTAGTGTTTAAGGAGTTTATCAATAAATCTTATAACTAGGTTGTATCTGAATGAGTTTTTATCTCTTTATCGATGCACGATAAAAAAAATTCTCGAAAACTAATTCATTCTACTTTGCGTCAGAAACTCACGAAATTCGAAACATGCGACAAACAAGAATAGAATATATTTTTATTGAATATTTGCACGCGCTAAACCGATCAAGTTGCTGTAATAGTAGAACGTCGCATTTTCCACATTGCGGGAAAATAACCATGTCCCCTGTCATATCCGGATCCCGCATCCCTTTCGCTTTTGTGTACATCGCAAATCCTCTCGAATGAGGGAAGGGGAGAGATCGTACAAATGGCGTTGTCGCCCCGGCCGTCAAAAGTTACACCGGCACTCTGTGGCTCGCTATAAACAATAGTCGACAGCGGCATCATCGAGCCGGATATAATTTTGTTCGAAACACATCGAGTGCCAGGCGCGTTACACCGCGCATCAGTCTGTCCGTAACAAGGAATTGTAAAATCAAAATTTCTAAAAAATCGCAAATTTCGTGTAATAATCCTACCCCGCGGCATCCATTAAAAACGACTGATTTAGTACACCGATGGAATAAAAGAGAACAGAAGCAGAGATTTGTCGCTGCAATTTGCTATGACATAGGATTCAAATTATATTTATCGGAATAAACAAAATGATAAAATATCTTACACATATTTTCTCAAACTTTTTTTAGATTATATTTTGTAATCCGTTAAAATTTTCGTTTGTTAATATTACGTATTTAGTTTTTCTCTTGCTATGTTTATATATTTCTTATGTTTCTAGACGATGTTATTTGATGACGGACAATAATAAACTCACGCGGTCGTGAACAATCTCGAGAATGATATTTATTTTGATAGTCGACATTGACAATCTTGAACGAGTGTTCGTAGCGGATAGTCGAGTTGTAACTTCTTCCTCTGTCTCCCAATTCATATTATATTTCGCGCGCGTGTTCAATATATTATACAATTTTCGATATCTTTTTTGTTTTTCACGACATTTTTCGTTTTACTTAATAATCGAGAATTAAAATTTGATTATGACTTTAACAATTTTGCAACTAATTAATTGTCACAAATCTTTTATATCACAAATTTCAAACCTTTATTAAGGCAGATGGAAAAAGTTTGAAAATTTACTTCACTTGAAATGGAAACGGAAAAGATACGTTGCTGCTCGAATGTTAGTTCTTCCGAGGAACATTTCGAAAGAAAGCTTAAACCTGGAAAGAACGTGTAAATAGAAAAAGGTATCCTAATGAGAGGCGATTCTGGACGAAGAAATTCATCGGTGGTTCCCAGAACCGCGCCCGGTCTAAAATATAGGTAAGAAGGATTCGAGACGAGCCGTAAAAAGCAGCTCTTTATCGTTTTCTTTCGCGGCCGATCGACGACATCGTTCGGCGACCGTTTCACGCGAGATGATCGGAAGAAGTGCGCCAAAAAAACGCGCGAAAGCTTGTCTTCTCTTTCCGTTTTGAGCGGCTATCGCGAAAGAAATCGTTATAGCGACCGGTTGGCGCGCGAGTTCGGCAATTTTTTCACCGAGGATTAACTCGTCCGTTGTATTAATGACTGCGCAGCACGGGATTATCCCTCGGGATTCCTCCGTGCGGGTTCGTCTTTCACGCGAAACGAACCTCCCTGTAAAATTGATTGCGCTTACGCGAGTCGGAGGGCTCACCGGAAAAGGACGCGACTGAAGAGGGAAGATAGGAAGATAGCCAAGCGTATTGAGTGATGAATTAAACTGAATTTAAACGCAACGCGATTTTTCTCCTTTTCAACGAAGCGATTAAATGCCATTATAAATCGATACATTATATTTTGTCGAAAGGGAAAAGTGAAAAAAGAATTGCAGAAAGAGAGAGCAAAAAAACCCCTCAAGAAATCCAGAAACGAGAAAGCGAAACTTGCCGAGGAATTTATTCATTCCCGCGAGGTTTGCGGTTATTAATTATTTTTGCCGAGTAATTTCGCCGTAATTGGGATTCTTGTGTTGGACGCGCTTGGTTCGTGACGGTTCAGCTGGGAGAAAAAAAAAATGCTAACTTTTGTACGGTGTTGCGAATTATCGACACAGCGCGCGGTCGAGAGTCGTTGAGTAGAAAGAGCGGGCGGTTTTGTGTGCGTGCGAATCGATCTTTATTCATGCAATTGCAATAAGTAGAAACCGCCTGACTATAAAACTCTCTCTGCATCGGCATTTCATTCTCTCGTTCGTGATAATAGCTTACGGATCGATTTTAAATCTTAATATTTGGTTGATTTTTCGTCTTTTCTCGCGTTTTAAAGGGTACAAAGAAAGATTGGTATTTAATTAGAATTAATAATTAATTCGCGGAACGTAACGCTTCCTAGCAATGTTAATCGCCGTTTGGAATTTAATTCGAAAACCGCAACAAAGTTGTTTTCCATTGTTAACTTTCTTTCTGTAAAACGCGTCGAAGTCGATTAAATGGTGAGCTATTTAGGAACTTTGGAGAATTAAGAATGCAAAACCGCGAATAATTTTTAATCGGACATAAAAAGTAGACTAATTATTGTAATAAAATCATTTAGCGTCTTTGTTAAACTTTAACGGACGTTTTCGGACTAAAGTGACGAAAGAAATCTAGTTTTTTTTCTCATAAGTAGGATTATAATTTATAAAAGCAAAAATTTATTTCGAAACTATTGGTACATCGTGCATTTTAACAGTAATATATTTATATTAAAATAACGATGCAAATACTCGGCGAAGAATGTAAAGAAAAGGAATGCAAACTCTATTTCCTTAACAAAACATCCGGCACTCTAATCATTTATTATATATTATTATATTAATTATTAATTATTAATTTATTACATTATTTATTACATAATTTATATCATTAATTTTCAACTTGAATGTGTGTTTTAACAATTAAATTTTAAACTAAATTTCCGCCAAACTTTGAAGCGCACTAAAATTTATCAGAGCATTGACTCTCTCTTGCGTCTATAAAAGTTGATCTAGTTGTTCTCAAACATACATTATTTACGATATTAGATAGTATACACTGGCAAATAAGAGGATAATCGTAGAATTATAGAAGCAATAACTTATAATACGATAAAAGAACGACTAGTCATCGATTGAGCTTGACTTGATATGCTTGGAAATATTGCGTCTGGCGATTAAAAATAAAGAACTGCTTCTTTCTCATTTCAGAACCCTGCGAGGAGACTTACTGCGCTTGGGGTGCGATGTGCGTCGTGTCCGAAAACGGCAAGGGTCTGTGTCAGTGTCCTGCGGATTGTCCTTTGACTTCTGATCTTGTCTGCGGCTCCGACGACGTGACCTATACAAACCACTGTCACTTACAGCAGGCGAACTGTCACAAGAGGAAAAAGACCAGGGTGAAACATCAGGGTGCATGCGGTGAGTAGTCTACTGTTGTTTTTTACAATACACATCTGTCCAGAAACATAACATCGTTTAGAAAAGAAATAATAAGACCGAGATTTATCCAAAAATATACAAAATATATAGAATGTAATCACATTTATATTAGCTGTGATACATTTTTCTAATTCCTTCGTTCGATTCTGATTTTTTGTGACGAGGATATCGAGTCGCACACATAAAGATATAAGTAGATATAACATAATTTAATTTTAAATTGGATTTATTTTCTCTACTGTTTTCTTGAAAGAGAAAAATTCGATTTTCCCTCTTTATTGAAGACACGATCGGTTTTAAACCCATAATATTTTTTGATTTGCTTACATTGTTATGCATTATGAATATGAATACAAATATGAATATTTTATAATTTTATTGAGACTGCTATATTCATAATAAAAATATAGATTGCAAATTTATTTACGATATTACCATAACGATAATATTTTTCTGGACTTTTTCAAATGACATATTATTCGCTTGGATATTGCTTGCTACGGGAACGAAAACTACTCTCGAATGCATGACCAATCAAAGAGGATTTCGAAGAATATAAATAAAGTTATTTAAAATTTAACACATGTCGATTTTCCCATATAAAAATTTAATTTTAATTATCTTTAGCTTTACGAGGAACCACGTTATTCATATATTATTCTAAATATATGTAAAACTGTTCTTCTCAAAAGCAATAATTTCTCGTTTAGATATAAATCTAGTTAAATAAAATAAACTAATTTAATAAAACAAACTTAATGTTACCGACGAATTTTTTTAATATACTGAGCAACGAGAAATCTCTTACAAAATAAAATGGAAAAATATTGATGGGAGATTAATATTGTCGATTCAATGTCATGTAGAAGGTTTTAAGATGAGTTACTTATCGCGAGATCCATTATGCCTCGCATTACTCATCCAAGGTTAAGCGGCGACAAAGCCAAGCTAAAACTTTCAAGCTCGAGTCTCGGATCTGTCGTAGGTCGCGGTGTGTTGGCAGCCTTTTAAACTTTAATTCGTTCAACATGCTCAGCCAAGTGCTTTCCAATCCTCGAGATCTTTCTGCAGGATTCAGCAGAGTATCTGAGAGCTAAACGCGCGGTACTTGGCAAAAAATCGGCTGGGTATTCAGAAGAGAAGGACAGAAAGACAAAGAGAAAGACGTATACACGAAAGCCGCAGGGAGACAGGACTTGGTATACTACGAAACGTACTTTATCACTCTCTTTTTGCCCGCCTATCCCGCGAGATCCCCGGTCTGCCATGAATTAACCAGTATCCAATACGCGATTTTTACTCCCGGTCTCGTCTGGATCCTGCTGCGCGCTGATTCTCAAAACGATCTTTTATTCAGGACGAGATTCACGACGCGCGCGAGCTTGTTGTTCGTCTCCCGTCCCGTTATATACACGCGGTAGGGGGTGTTCCTTTTGAGCGATCAGCGCTGGAGAGAAATACTTGGGCAAATCGCGCGGGGCGTTACGCAAATGGAATGCGTTTCCACACTATCCTCCCTTTCCCTTTTGCATATTTGCGGGGGTATTCGGCGTGTTCTATCCATGGAAATTACGTGACGATAACACGCGCGAGAGGTGGAGAGTCCCCGCCGACGCAAATTCTTCCTGACGCCTCGCAAAAGCGGGATTTTAGAGCACGAGACGACGCGTAATTCCGCGATCGGAATAATAGACGGATCGGATCTCGCTTTGATCTCCGAATTCGCAACTGAGCGGCCACCGTTCGCGATAAGTGTAACCCCTTGATTACCATATCGATCTCGGGGTAAAATTCGTGCCGCGAAAGCGAGCCTGGAGTACGAGGAACACGATGCCGAGAGACGATCCCGATGAGAGAGAGCTGCGAATTTTTCGATGGTTACAATTTCTCAGACTTTATGATCTCTTTTGATTAATGTTTTACGTCGCTCCTCGACTGGCGCTGGCGACGTGAATCCCCTTTTGAAAACGTCGTACAAAGACGCCCATTTTCCGCGTCATTGTCTTGGTCGTGGCGTCGGGGTTTAAGTTTCTCGCGGGAGGTGATTCAGCCGTTTCGTGAGCTCTACTTAACATTCTCGCACACAACCTTACACGGCCCGTTCCAATTAATCGCCGCTCCAAAGACGACGTGTCTTGAAAGACCGGACAATGCGGACGCGCAAGGTCATGAAAGCTCAAGTACCTATCTAGCGTTAAAAGGACGTGCGAAGCTGTGCAAGGTCGTGAAACCTTCCGTCCGACTGGCGCACAATGCAAAGCGCTCTTTATCCTTACATTTTGAACGTATAGAGATTCTACTTCGTTACTTCCAAGTTTCTATCCAAGTACGTAACCGTGTACGCTCATTATCAAGTGAAAAGATTCAACGCTATGATGATTTACTCAAAAATTAAATTTATGAAATAAATTTAATTATAAATTAATTATAAATTTTATAAATTTTTAATTATAAATTTTTACTTTAAAACATTTTTGTCGTAATTTTAAAAGAGCTGAAATTGATCGATATCTAAAATAGTCATCGTGCAATGTTTAAATGAATAATTTAACTTAATGAAAATTACAGTATTGAATTATATATAAGGCCTTTAATTATATATTAACGAAATTTCGAATCTGAATTGACCTTTCAGTTGTTACGCATTACTTCGATATTCATTAATATAAGATAGAAAAATAAAGCAAAAATCGTATTCAGTGCTTGATATAAAATGCGACTACAGATTTCCGCTCTTGTAAATCCGGGACTTGCATCGGTCGACTGTCATTTCGCTGGATACGAGCGTAATCATGCCGCATACACAATACAGTAGGCAATCTGGAAACAAATGAGGGAGAAGAGAAGTGGACGTAATGATGGAGGAAGTAGCCGCACAGGGAAAGGACAGAAATATCGCTCGGAAACGAGACGAAAATAAAATCGCAGAACTTGGTGTAGCTCGTAGATATCCGTACGAACACGCGTACTCTTCTTTTCTTTTACCTTTGCTTTCTTCTCTCGTATTATTTCGCTCTCTGTGTTTTTCGCTCCCCCTACAACCCGATCTTCTCCGCTCCTATTTCACACGCGACATATATAGAACATTTCTTATTCGCCTCTTATCCAGCTTTCAAGCCAGTAGTCGTCCTACAAGCAACTCGGTACGTAAATTATTATGCGAACAAACAATGCGAAACGAGCGTTCCAACGTCTCATAAAACAACACGAATCCCAAGCGATTTTCGCGGCTCGGCATCTCTCTCAAACAACCATCGCCTTCTGCGCTACCCTCTTCGTTTAGAATCCGTTAGCGAGATGATATATCCGCAAATTCTCTAAATTATATTATACACGTACTGCGATGTTGAGTCAATCTTTTGATTATTCCACATGTCACAAAATATTTATTACACTTTAAATCTTCCTATAGAATCATTGATTAGCTTTGGGACACAAATGCTTGAACTCGTAAAAGTTTTAATTAAAAAAATAAAATTGCATACATAGTCATACAAGGGCAATTTTAAAATCTTATTCTCTCTTTTTCTTTCTTCAAAAATTAATTAACTTGATTAATTTAAATTAATCTTAGTTAATTCTCTTCCAAAACCTCTCAATACATTATCAAAGTCTATGATACCGTATTATCGTTGAAAAATGACAAACGTCAACATCATGATTTTAAAATCATAGATCAGACGTTTTTTTTCTACTTTGCTTACATTTTCGCAATATTTCACCGTTCTCGCTCTGAAACTGTAAAACTCCGGTGTATACCCGTCATTAATCAACTCATCCCATCATAGACTCTTCAAGGAAACGAACGACAAAGGTAGATGAGTCGTATAGATGAAGGAGCGCGGAGCCAGAATGAATGATAAGCGCCGTCTTAAGCGAGCTTCCGTCCCTCGTACTATTGCCGACTGAAGAAACAGAAAGCTCCACCCCCGTCACTCTCTCTCACTCTCTCTCTCTCTCTTGCATGCGCGCGTGCAAGAAGCTTTATCTGTTTACTTCAGACGCTGTGCGACGTGCCTCTCGTTGCTTAGTCTATATTCACGATGGTAGAGTCTATAATTTAGTCGGTGCAAGATCCAACCTCCAAAGGGATCAAGGCAATGCCCTATATAATTCAATCCGCACGGAAATAGAGATAGCGCGAACTCGCTATAAAATTCACGAATAAATTATGCATCCTCGATGTTGGAAACCCTGTGGCTATCGTAGTTTGAAAAATTCTTTTATATATCCACGAATTGATACGTCATATATATTTCAGCAAATTTTCTCATTCTATTATTCGGCGATCATATCCATATCCAATCGCTGTTAAAATTTTTATAAAATTTTTCGTTTGACATTTCACATTGAAGTACAAAACTCGTGCTATTTATGAAGTTCGATGTTTTATCTAGTCCGTGTAAAAGACAGTGGCTGTAATTCAATCGCTGTGAAGCTCATGCTGCGAGGAAACGAAGAGATCGGAAAGCTGTCCACTATAATTCAATCAAACGCGACGTACGCGAGATACGCGACATTTCGAGATCGAAAGCGTGTATAGCGAGTTACAGAGGTTTGATACTTATCGCTTAGTGTTAGAAAGTACGAGGCACTGTTTTATCGAGCCATAGTTTTGAAAAGTGTTTAAAAAAAGATAAGAGCAAACGAATTTTGAAAATTTGCTAATAATAGAAAATTGATAAGATTTACATTATTATAATGGAAAAAATTTCTATAATTTATAATTCTCTAATTGACTTCTCATTCTTTCAATTAAATATTTTGAAATAAATTTAGAGCTGATTTTTCTTTAACAGAAATATAAATCATTTTTGTGAAATGACTAAAAATATAAAACATAATACTTCTTTTATACGATTCACAGTTGATGAATGCAAATAGAAAAGAGATAAAATCTATTTAATTTTGTTGAATTTAAGAATTGGGTTTTGAACAGAAATTTAATTTAAGTCCTCGTTATATGTGTATCTAAAAAT